GCCAGGAAACATCAACATTTGTTTATTTTAGAGCATACAAGTGAAATCAACAAAAGTTTGGAAGAAAAAGGTTAATTAATGTTTATCATTCATAATTTTTGCACTGAACAAATCGAAACCGTTTCCGGCAGGTTTAACTTTGGCAGAAATGAGTACAATGTACTACAATTGAAGACTGAAAATATGGGGAAAGAAAGATAGCTCTTAAGGCCCCCCCCCCAAAAAAAAAAAATTCTTCGGTTTTTGGTATGGTGGAGCTCGCTCCAAAGTTGTGCGGCGACGCGGCTTTTTTCTTCAAATGTCTGCTGATGACTGCAAATAGTGCCCGACTAAATTTAGTTCAAAATATATGAGGTCCCAGAGAGGCCATACAAACCAGTCAGTTTGGCGGTTTCAAACATCATCTTACATTATTGAACAAAAAAACTTTTTAATTTTGCCGAAGCGCATGGCTACAGCGACGCGCGCGCATATCAGAAACCGGGGCCTGTTGTTATGGCCTAACTCCCAAAATGGATGGTTTTGGCCAAAATCTTCAAAGTATTGGGTGTTTGACTATTGATTGGTGCTCCTCTGACTTCCAAAGGAATTTCTGCGTTATTTTTGAGAAAAGTCAATTTTTTGGCCAAATTTTGATATAATTGTAAGGCTAACACCTTGCATTTTTTTTTCAATTTTGACCAAAAAATGGAATTCCTTTATTAAAACTTGCTAGAAAGATGCCTAAGGGACTCTTGAACAGATTCTTATTCCATTCGTAGAAAGATTATTCTTTTCAAAAGAAAATTTTCACGAAAATATTTAGTAAAATCAGTCAAAATTGTTAATTTATTTCTCACAAAATCTTCGAAATATTGGGTGTTTGAGTATTGATTGGTGCTCCTCTGACTTCCGAAGGAATTTCTGCGTTATTTTTGAGAAAAGTCAATTTTTCGCCAAACTTTGATAAAAAAGTAAGGCTTACCCCTTGCATTTTTTTAAATTTTGGCCAAAAAATGGAATTCCTTTAAACTTGCTAGAAAAATGCCCAAAAAGAAAATTGTGACGAAACTATTGGGTAAAATCAGTCAAAAATGTTTATGTATTTCTCACAAAATCGATGGTTTTGGCCAAAATCTTCAAAATATTGGGTGTTTGAGTATTGATTGGTGTTCCTCTGACTTCCAAAGGAATTTCTGCGTTATTTTTGAGAAAAGTCCATTTTTCGCCAAACTTTGATAAAAATGTATGGCTAACCCCCTTCATTTTTTTCAATTTCTTTCAAAAGTGAAATTCCTTTAAACTTGCTAGGAAGATGCCTAAGGGACCCTTGAACACATTCCAGTTCCATTAGTAGAAAGATTATTCTTTTCAAAAGAAAATTTTGACGAAAATATGGGGTAAAATCAGTCAAAATTGTTAATTTATTTCTCACAAAATCGATGGTTTTGGCCAAATCTTCAAAATATTGGTTTTTGAGTACTGATCGGTGCTCCTCTGACTTCCAAAGGAATTTCTGCGTTATTTTTTAGAAAAGTCCATTTTCGCAAACTTTGATAAAAATGTAAGGCTAACCCCTTGCATTTTTTTTTTCAATTTGACCGAAAAATGGAATTCCTTTAAACTTGCTAGAATGCCTAAGGGACTTTTGAACACATTCCAATTCCATTTGTAGAAAGATTATTCTTTTTAAAAGAAAATTATGACGGAAATATGGGCTAAAAATTAGTCAAAATTGTTAATTTATTTCTCACAAAATCGATGGTTTTGGCCAAAATCTTCAAAATATTGGATGTTTGAGTTTTGATTGTTGCTCCTCTGACTTCCAGAGGAATTTCTGCGTTATTTTGAGAAAAGTCCATTTTGGGCCAAATTTTGATAAAATAGTAAGGCTAACCCCCTTGCATTTTTTTTTCAATTTGACCGAAAAATGGAATTACTTTAAACTTGCTAGGAAGATGCCTAAGGGACCCTTGAACACATTCCAATTCCATTCGTAGAAAGATTATTCTTTTCAAAAGAAAAGTTTGACGAAAATATGGGGTAAAATCAGTCAAAATTGTTAATTTATTTCTCACAAAATCGATGGTTTTGGCCAAAATCTTCAAAATATTAGGTGACTGAGTATTGATTGGTGCTCCTCTGACTTCCAAAGGAATTTCTGCGTAATTTTTGAGAAAGTCCATTTTTGGCCAAATTTTGATAAAATTGTAAGGCTTACCCCTTGCATTTTTTTTCTTCAATTTTGACAAAAAATGGAATTCCTTTAAACTTGCTAGGAAGATGCCTAAGGGACCCTTGAACACATTCCAATTCCATTCGTAGAAAGATTATTCTTTTCAAAAGAAAATTTTGACGAAAATATGGGGTAAAATCAGTCAAAATTGTTAATTTATTTCTCACAAAATCGATGGTTTTGGCCAAATCTTCAAAATATTGGTTTTTGAGTACTGATCGGTGCTCCTCTGACTTCCAAAGGAATTTCTGCGTTATTTTTTAGAAAAGTCCATTTTCGCCAAACTTTGATAAAAATGTAAGGCTAACCCCTTGCATTTTTTTTTTCAATTTGACCGAAAAATGGAATTCCTTTAAACTTGCTAGAATGCCTAAGGGGCTTTTGAACACATTCCAATTCCATTTGTAGAAAGATTATTCTTTTCAAAAGAAAATTTTGACGGAAATATGGGCTAAAATTTAGTCAAAATTGTTAATTTATTTCTCACAAAATCGATGGTTTTGGCCAAAATCTTCAAAATATTGGATGTTTGAGTTTTGATTGTTGCTCCTCTGACTTCCAAAGGAATTTCTGCGTTATTTTTGAGAAAAGTCCATTTTGGGCCGAATTTTGATAAAATAGTAAGGCTAACCCCTTGCATTTTTTTTTAATTTGACCAAAAAATGGAATTACTTTAAACTTGCTAGGAAGATGCCTAAGGGACCCTTGAACACATTCCAATTCCATTCGTAGAAAGATTATTCTTTTCAAAAGAAAATTTTGACGAAAATATGGGGTAAAATCAGTCAAAATTGTTAATTTATTTCTCACAAAATCGATGGTTTTGGCCAAAATCTTCAAAATATTAGGTGATTGAGTATTGATTGGTGCTCCTCTGACTTCCAAAGGAATTTCTGCGTTATTTTTTAGAAAAGTCCATTTTCGCCAAACTTTGATAAAAATGTAAGGCTAACCCCTTGCATTTTTTTTTCAATTTGACCAAAAATGGAATTCCTTTAAACTTGCTAGGAAGATGCCTAAGGGACCCTTGAACACATTCCAATTCCATTCGTAGAAAGATTATTCTTTTCAAAAGAAAATAATGACGGAAATATGGGCTAAAAATTAGTCAAAATTGTTAATTTATTTCTCACATAATCGATGGTTTTGGCCAAATCTTCAAAATATTGGTTTTTGAGTACTGATCGGTGCTCCTCTGACTTCCAAAGGAATTGCTGCGTTATTTTTTAGAAAAGTCCATTTTCGCAAACTTTGATAAAAATGTAAGGCTAACCCCTTGCATTTTTTTTTCAATTTGACCGAAAAATGGAATTCCTTTAAACTTGCTAGAATGCCTAAGGGACTTTTGAACACATTCCAATTCCATTTGTAGAAAGATTATTCTTTTCAAAAGAAAATTATGACGGAAATATGGGCTAAAAATTAGTCAAAATTGTTAATTTATTTCTCACAAAATCGATGGTTTTGGCCAAAATCTTCAAAATATTGGATGTTTGAGTTTTGATTGTTGCTCCTCTGACTTCCAAAGGAATTTCTGCGTTATTTTTGAGAAAAGTCCATTTTGGGCCAAATTTTGATAAAATAGTAAGGCTAACCCCCTTGCATTTTTTTTTCAATTTGACCAAAAAATGGAATTACTTTAAACTTGCTAGGAAGATGCCTAAGGGACCCTTGAACACATTCCAATTCCATTCGTAGAAAGATTATTCTTTTCAAAAGAAAAGTTTGACGAAAATATGGGGTAAAATCAGTCAAAATTGTTAATTTATTTCTCACAAAATCGATGGTTTTGGCCAAAATCTTCAAAATATTAGGTGACTGAGTATTGATTGGTGCTCCTCTGACTTCCAAAGGAATTTCTGCGTAATTTTTGAGAAAGTCCATTTTTGGCCAAATTTTGATAAAATTGTAAGGCTTACCCCTTGCATTTTTTTCTTCAATTTTGACAAAAAAATGGAATTCCTTTAAACTTGCTAGGAAGATGCCTAAGGGACCCTTGAACACATTCCAATTCCATTCGTAGAAAGATTATTCTTTTCAAAAGAAAATTTTGACGAAAATATGGGTTAAAATCAGTCAAAATTGTTAATTTATTTCTCACAAAATCGATGGTTTTGGCCAAATCTTCAAAATATTGGTTTTTGAGTACTGATCGGTGCTCCTCTGACTTCCAAAGGAATTTCTGCGTTATTTTTTAGAAAAGTCCATTTTCGCAAACTTTGATAAAAATCTTATTCTTTTCAAAAGAAAATTGTGACGAAAATATGGTGTTTAATCAGGCAAAAATGTTAATTTATTTCTCACAAAATTGATGGTTTTGGCCCAAATCTTCAAAATATTGGGTGTTTGAGTATTGATTGGTGCTCCTATGACTTCCAATGGAATTGCTGCATTGTTTGGAGAAAAGTCCATAATTGGCCAAATTTTGACAAAAATGTAAGGCTTACCCCTTGCATTTTTTTAAAATTTTGACCACAAAATTGAATTCCTTTAAACTTGCTAGAAAGATGCCTAAGGGACCCAAGAACACATTTCAATTCCATTTGTAGAAAGATATTCTTTTCAAAAGAAAATTGTGACGGAAATATGGGGTAAAATCAGTCAAAATTGTTAATTTTTCACAAGAGACATCATCTTACATTGATTTTTTTTTTTGCCGACGCGCATGGCTACGGTGACGCGCGCATACCAGAAACCGGAGCCTTTTTGGGGGCCTAAAAGAGGTATAGCAATGAATTCTGATTGCAAAGAACAAATACATTTATGTAACTTAATTTTTTTTTTATTTTTTTTTTTTTATTCATATTCCAGTCTCTAAGAAAAATTAATTTAGTATTTCAAAAAATGTCCTGTCTTTCAAACCATTTCCTCTTAAATATGATTACTTCAAAATTAAATGTCACCAACATTTTAATTGCACTCGCACTGAACGCCTCAAGTGCATGACATATTTCCGACAAACTGTCTGCATTAATTACAAAAAAGTTGCACACGCACACTAAACCAAATCTGCCAGTCTTACTGCTTCGCCGCAAAATAACTTTATAATTGTTAATTCTTGATACAGTCATTATTTTAAAACTAAATGTCCTGCAACTTTCTTTTAGTTCCTTTGATGACTACTTCTTAAAGAAAGAACATTGAAAACTTCAGTCCTTAAGGTTAATTAAATTATCATATACACAGATGCGAAATTCTACGGAAGGGTTACAGGGACACTAGGTCCTGGAACAGCCCAATTGGGCTACAAAACGCGCTTTGAACGAGATGATGTTTATCGGAAATAACATTTAAAAGTAGGATATAAACATCCACACAACTATCCTTTCAAGACTGGGCGTTTTTGTGTTATTCCTGTATTATGCGTGCGAGAACGAATTTCGGGGTCCACTTTTGCGACCCCATAAATTCGAGCTGTTTGGATGCTAGTTGTGATTTCATTCGTAAAGTGTTCGCCTTTTGCAGACGTTGAAACCATTTCTTTTTGCATTCAGCCGGTGATTGGTCACCGCTGTTCGTTACGGCTGAGACACACATCGTGTATATCATACACGTTCACTGAGAATGACACAAAAAACGTATTCATACTCCGTCATGTCCGATGTAAACAAGCGGTGGTTTTTTCGTCTTTTCTCGGGAACGGTAAGACATTAGGTTGGTTTCCTTTCAACCAGATGTTTGAAATAGGCTAAGTAAACAATCCAAAACATAAAATTTTCGGGGATTTTAGGACCTAGTGCCCCTTTAAGGCATACAACCTTTTGTTGGTTTGAAAAATTCCATTCCATATCATAAACTCCTAGACAACCTTTGAAATTGAACTGGGCAATCTCATCCCTTATCTTGTGTACCAATGATTCAAGAAAACACCTGCTAATGAACACCTGCTGGCGTCCAAGATTACCAAAGGTTTCTAAAAGCAGAACTGCCAACCTGGCCTACGTGCAAATGGCCGGCAAAGAAAGGGCGAGAAACGATAACCTAATATCCTGGCATCCTTGGTGTCCATTTTTTTATCTGAAAAGATACTGATGTCTGTAACTCGACCTGCATTCCACAAGATTGTCTAAGATTGGTTACAGTAAGACCACCTTACAAAGATGAAGATGTGGCACAGTTTTAGCTGAACTATTGAGAACCTCATTTTAAGATTACACATTGTAGACAACAAAAAAGAAACGGTATTTGGGAAAGAGAAATATCTCATTGAAATCAATCCAGAGTCTTCAGCTTTGATGCCGATGATATGAAGCGGTAACGTGCAAAAATTGGTGCATTTTTGATTAAGCAGAATACACTGAATTCCGTAATGTTAGTACAAGGCAGTTTGATATCATGAAACATTAATAACAAATTTCTCATGAGCTGAAACTTCTGCAGATTTGCAGCTTGAAAGCTTGCCATGATTTGCTAAGTTTTGTTTTTGCTTGGTGTATATGGACTGGCCATTGAATGTTCTCAGGCATCTGATACATCCCTTCTCAGCAGTTTAGCCTTGATGTGAATGCCGTAGTAGTCGATGATGGACAGCGTGCCTACACAGATGGCCACAAGTTCAGCCAGGAGATCATCATTGACACGATCACAGTACTGCAACTCCAGGGTACGAAGACAAGGGGCGTAGGAGGTGGACCTCACTGGGGAAAACAGATCCTCATATTCCTGTTTGGAAGAAAGGGCAAATGTTTTAAGAGATGAAACAGGGATCATTCGTTCCTCTAGATCAGTCTACATGTATATTGTATCTACTAACCTTCTTCTGAGAGCAACCTTCCTACTGACCAAAACTTGGGCATGATTACCATAAGTAGATTTTAAAAACCAGGAATGAGTAGGAGTACTTTGCCACGAGTACGAGGAATTTTTTTGTCATTGGTATGACCAAAACTACCAAAAAAAGTACTTGAGTATGATTACAAGAACGAGTACTTTCCATAAGTAGGAGCAACTTTACATGTGTCACGTGTTTTCAAGGACTTTTTGCCATCAAACTAGGCATTCAACAAATGAAGAAGCCTCCTTAATCCTAACAGAACTCAACCCATCAAACCCCAACGGCATGTTTTGTTGGAATCTGTTAGGATGGGTAAAGTACCCCTAATCTGACCATCTTTTACGCTGGGTTGGCACTCCTCCAGAATCAAAGTCAGAAATATGTGTGTGCAGTTTCCCACATGGTGTTAGAATTTGCCAGGATAGGTATGGTTCCTAGTTAATCATACTAGGGAGTTGGGGTTAATGGTGGAAAACTGGTTCTTTTCCGCATGTAGCTCTAAAAAATATTGTCATTCTTGCGGGAGAGCATTTGCAAGAGTACAAGTACTTTGTCATGATAGGCCATCAGCCTGGGGGTTTGGTCAGTATCAAATCAGGGCATAAATGATTATAGTGCGCATGCGCAAGGTATACCGCCCCTAGAGTGGTAACAAGCATTTTGATGGACATTTTGAAAAAAAAGGTGATAACACCTAAAAAGCTGCCACCGCTGCAATGCTATCACATATTTTCCAACTCTGGAGATGTATACCTTGCCAAAAATAGCTATGACGATTATTCCCCTCATTTGATACCGGTGGCCAAAATCTTGGACCGAGGCTGATGGCCTATGAGTACTTTGTCATGAGTACAACGATGGGGATGCAAGAAAGAGGAGTGGTTGGGGGAAACGTACCTCATCACTTGACAAGTGTTCCTCACCAAGCCTCTGGAGGAGTGTTCTCTCCTTCATCTTCAGTTTGATCAACTTCTTACAGCGCTGCCATCTTGCCAACTCTTCAACAATATTTAAAAAAAGGGGGGGGGGCAGGAATTAACACCAAGTCTTAATCAATTCAAAACCACTCGAGCTTTTGTCTCGACACAAATAAAACCCATAGAGTTAGCATACAAACTGCAAAACCTGTATCTCTGTGCAGTACGTAAAAGCCCTTCTAAATCCTTCAGTCTTTAAGAAGTGTGGGTAAGCATTTATTAAAGGGGCACGTCATCCTGGAAAGCGTCCAAAACACATTTTAAACAAAATTATGTTAATTGGAAAGAGCTTTTAAAAGTAGAATATAAACGTCCACACAACCATCCTTTAATAATTGGCCGTTTTTGTATTGTTCTTGCGAGAATGAATTTTGGGGGTCAACATTTTGACTCTTCAACAGTTTGACTCAAAAATCGAGCTGTTTGGGTGCTACCGTTAGTCGTGATTCCAGTCGCACATGTTCCACCAGTGCATCACATGCTGTGGACGTGCAGTAAACAACGTGTGTATTGGTGCAGTGTGTACTTGTACATTATGTGTACGCACACATGACTTGTACCGTATATTTGTTTTGGCCTACTTGTATCATCTGACAGAAAGCGGGGGCAACGTCCAAGAAGGGGACTTATTTTTACGGCTGGTAATACGTATGCATATGCCACAAAATGTCGGCCACGTCAGGGGTATTCAATAGGTTTTTTTCCCGTCTTTTCTTGGGAACAGTGCTATATTAGGTTAGCTTTTTTTCAACCACCCCTTTGAAATAGGATATTAAAGGAAACAACTTTAAACATAAAAACTTTGGCGATTTCTGGACAAAGTGCCCCTTTAAGAAAGTTAGCAAGTGGCTTTTGAAATTCCCATTTTTGTCACCCCCATACCTGAAATGATGGGCATAAGTGGCTTCTCAGTGATGCGTTTGAGTCCCATCAAATACAGCTCCACTATGAGTGGACAACAGGACATCACTGACGAAATCGCCGCATCCGTCAAGTCTGTAGAGGAGAAAAATAACAGCAACCGTGCTACTGGAGAAAGACATGACTGTTAAATCTGCCTTCAGGGCGTTCATGCAGGATTTCTTGAAATTATATTATCAGTTGTGCAGAGAATACAATGTTTTCTGTTTGTAAAATCAAGAAGCACATGGGTGAATTTTGCTCTTCTGTGAAAACCATGTCTATGTACATGTCTATGTACATGTATATGTACTTTCAAACTGTAACATAACTATGAGGTTGGTCCTTCCGCCCCCCCCCCCCCACCAATGGCTGTGCCCCTTCTTTTGCCCCCCCCCCCCTTTTTTAGAATTTTAAGATGATAGAAAATGACGCCTCTGAACTGCTCCTCTGCCCAACGTCCAGCAAATTGGACAGCAGATACATCATAGACCCCTTGCATTGGCTGCCCCCATGGAGGAAATGTCTCTGTTCATCAGTTATAGACACTTCCTTCTATCATTTTCACTGAATTAAAAACAGAGAACCTGTCCTCAGAGATGTCGCTCTGTGCAAGGGGTTTATTGCTTTTAAGTTTAAGATGTCAGTGCTCAAGACTTTGAAAATGATGAGATGACAGAAACTAAATTTGTTTTCTTCTCGAAGATCAGTCGAATGATTTCATGGCAGCAAGACATCCCGGGCGTATTTGAAACCCCGTTCTTGAGTGACCTGCGAACAGTGTTCTCGGGTTGCCGATTATGCATGTCCTAAGTGCGTGTGGAGTGCAGCTCGGCAAAAAATCAAGATGGCAGCCACAACATTAAAAACACCGAAAGAAAAGAAAGGAGAATTAATTAATTATCTTACAAAAAATGGGGAGTCAGGTTGGCGTAGCGGTACTTTCCTCGCCTTCCACCGATGTGACCCGGGTTTTGAATCCCGCCTGGGCCAATATGTGGATTGGGTTTTCAGTCCCTACCTGATTCCGTGGGTTTTCCCCAGAATATTCTTCTGGGCTTTTCCTCCCGCCTCTAAAACTGTAACTTCTTCTCATTGTCTTCTCTCCACAGGTTTCTTCAGGCTTGCGAGCTACAGTGCCTAGGGTGCTTTTGAGGAATCCTTGGTTTCATAACCAGAAATGATTAATAATAATAATAATAATAAATCCCAGAACAGCTATAAACTTGGCAAAGACAAGTTCACTCAGTGGTAATGTACAATTTCATTTTCTATCATTGATACTCCTGCACCTAATGCGTGCCTTCATTTTATGCGCACAAAAACAAAACAAAACCACAAGCTGTGGTAGCAGCCTAAGTCCACCATCTTTGTTCTTGATGTTCTTCATCTACTCCTGAATATAAAGTGGGGAGTGAAAACCCTGTTCGCGAACACTATTCATGTGATGGTTCTCGTCATTCAATACCCTGTTCTCGTGTTCATTCAACATAAGAACAGGATTTTGAATAAGCCCGCCATCCTAACCTGAATTCCAGCTGACATCCAGCTTCTTCAAGTGTCTCAGGCTGGGTGCCATAGCCTGGGCCACCCCGTCAGTCAAGTTCTCCACACCGGACATGTTCAGCGAGGACAGCCGGTTGCAGTTCCAGGCTAGTGACATCAGGGTGTCGGCCGACATGCGACACTGACGCAGTGTCAGTGTCTCCAGGGAGGTGCAGTGGCTGGCGATCTCCGTCAGTCCCATATCACTGATCTCCTCACACCAGGAGATTTCTAATGTCGTGATCTGGGAAAAACAATCCGTCTATCTATCAATTTTTTCATCTATTTTAATTTCCACTGCATCAAGGCAACTAAGACAGCAATGTTGAATGGTTCTCATTGAAGTACTGAATTAATTCCCTCCATTGGAACAGGATGGGACAGTATTGTTTGCCATTTTGAGCCCATATTATACAAATATTGAATGCTTCGAGTGGTGTAGTAAAACTAGCCTCCCGAGGTGATCCCATGAAGCAGTTTATTTTTCCCGAGGCGAAGCCGAGGGAAAAAAGAATGCTCCATGGATCACTGAGGGAGGATACTTTTACTACACCACGAGATAAAGCAGTCAATATTTGTTTTATAACACCTCTCCCACAGATTATGCTTGATTTTAGAGATGGTTACTCTGCAAACCTTCTCTCTTGGCATAGTATCCCCCATCCATGCATCTATGAAATCAGACAACTATTTTAGTATTCCATCGTGGATCTTACCTTTTCTCCCAAGTACTTAGCTATGCGGGTGAGCGTTGAGTCACTGATGTTGGTCTCTGAGAGTTTCAGGCTCTGTAGGTTACAGGAGTTGCCTCGCATTAAGGTAGGTATCAGAGCCGTGTCCGAAATGTAGCACACCCCTATGAGCAAATGTTGGTGCCAAAAATAAGTCAAAGAAATAAGTACGTGTATGCATATCGTCAGCAATAAGCCTTTTCGGAGTTCCAACTGCGCATAACCTGTGACAACGCGCATTGTTTGTCTCAAATGGCCTTTGACATCATTGCGCCACTGACTTTACAAAAAGGCTGTTTGTGCATTGTGGGTACTGTCAAAGGGCATTTGAGACAAACAATGTGCGTTGTTACAGGTTACGAATGCGCGCAGTTGGAACTCCGAAAAGGCTTAGTTTTCACAAATTGAATCTTTTAATTATAAAGTTGAACAAAGGCATTGACTTGAGTGGGATTAGAACCTGAGACCTCTGGATTACCACACTGGCACTCTGTTGACAGTTGCCCCATTTGATTTGTAAATATGTAAATGTACATTATATCTTTGTTCAAGGGTGCTAGTCAGAAGCCGTGAAACAAGTACAGTGTAGCCATGTAGCCAGGGATCACACCCAAAGTACGGACCACCAGCTCTGGATTGGGAGAGTGAGTTTAAACCATTTTCGATACGTAAAGAGAACCATGTGGTGCTTTCCTAGTGGGCAACAGATGTATTGGCAACAGACTGGAGAACAGAAACGTTATCTCTTTTTTTGTTTTTATGACAACTTTGAAAGCACACCCACCACTAAATTCCGCCACCACTAAATTCTGCCACCATCCCGTCATGATTAAAACCAATCGCACTTTCATGAACGTCTTTTGTGCAATATTTCACAAACATCCTTTCATATGCAAACATATTTAAGCAGAAATGAGGTCAAGTCAATAATGTCAAGAAGGTGAATATTTGACACAGGAAACGTCTTACCCTGAAGGTCCAGTTGTTGTAAGTTTCTGCACTTGCTAAGTAAATGTGCCACGCCAAGACTTGTCAGTCCACTACAGTCAATCTAGTGAATGACAGCAAAGAACACGTTATGAATTATATTATATTAGTGTTTTCTTGTTTTATCTAGTGTTTTCTTGTTTTATCGAGTGTTTTCATGTATAAATTTCAATTGGGTAAACTTCCACGACAAATAAGATGGGTTGCGGAGACTGATACATTTCAAACTCAATGTAACATTATCCCCAAATTGTTGACTTTCCTTACCAGACAAAGGGATCGTAGCTCTGTTCCGCCCATAGCTATTATCTCCAGCATGGAATCACTCAGTTCCTTCCAACAAACAGTCAGCATCCTCAGCTCCGTGTTTGCCATAAAGAACTCTTTCAGACAAGTCACGACTAAAGTTGCGTCAAAGTCGATGATGCTCATATCCAAGGATGTGATGCACGGCGTGTACAGACGGCGCCAAGGACACACTGGGGCTGTCTTCTCACCCGAGGGTTCATTGGTTGAGATCTTAGAGTCACTCTCATTGGCTGAAGAAGCTGAGCTCAATTTGCATACATTAGTTAGCGGATTAGCATTGGATACGGAATCATTGCTGCGTGAATATGCAACACTAGCAGATGGATCCGCTGTTTGATTGGTTGAGGCCTCTGAATGTAAAACCTTGCACTGACTCTCACTGGCTAAATCGGCCTGGGTTAATTTGCATAATCTAGAAATTGGTTGATCGAGCGATGAGTGGCATGAACTGCCTTTAGGAATTTCACAGCATGTTCTTTCACATGAAGATTCAGATTCTTGATTGTGACTTCTTGAGATAGTCCCCTGAGAAACACTTGATTCTGGTAACGTCTCAGAGCTCGTTTCAGAAGATAATGCCCCTCCACATGAACATCTCTCTCCCTGAATTCTTGTTCCTTCACTACTGGAAGTGAATGTAGCATTCTTGTCCCTGCTATTCCAAATGTCTAGTTCATCTGCAACGTCTTTTAATTCACTAACGCATCTTCCTTTGCTCTTGTAGGAGGTTTCCTGTAGTTTCTTGCACTGAAGGCACTGCTTTCCTGCCTTTCCTTGTGGGCTTAAAGTGGCATCATCCTCCCTGCGCAATGCTTGGCAGGAGGATGATGCGGGATCTTGTGAATCCCCTTCAGTCTGCAACTTTTGGCGAGAGTTTTCGATGAGATCATTCACATACAGTCCCATCTGCAAGTCCACATCTTCGGTACCATCATTACGAAAGTCACTCCCACCCTCCCCCATCCACTCCTGTCCTTTCCGTTCCTCTTTTCCATCTTCCACCTCCACAACGACATTATCTTCGTCCATTTTGCCTCCTTCTCCCTCCATCTCCTGTCCCTCAATCTCCTTCACCTCCTCCTGCCTCTGGCATTCTTCCTCTTGGAGACTCTTGAGCCTCTCCTGGAGGAGCCTAAACTCCGATATCAGCTGGCACAGTGTCTCGCCGTCAGGGGAACCCTCGTCCAGGCTGGCTTTGTTGGCCTCCGCTGCCAGCTGTACAGCCGTGGACAGACTGTAGCCAGAGAGAAACCAGAGGATTGTGCAGTCCATCTGACATACATGAAAGAAAACAAAACCTGAAAAAGTAATTCTAGTATTATAAAAAATACAATGAATGAAAAAATTAATTTAAATTACTGCTCTTTCTCTGCATTCTATTTCGTCTAGGATTGATACATGAATACTTTTGATATTGATAAGTTACAATTACAATCAGGATGCTCCCAATTGCTTAGTGCAATTATGGGGATGAAGCCCTCTGCATTATTACTGTACATGTACATGTATTTCTAAAAAAATTATGCACGTTTTCAAATAATAATTGTCCAATATAAAAAAAGTGTCACCGTTTATATATCAGTCTCTACGCAAATACCGAGAACATTTTCCCATTACACTGAAAGTGGGTTTGAAGTTGTAATCCTCTACCTTTTGAACATTTCTTTATTAACCAGTTTGCGCCAAATGACGTGTATACACGCAAAGGTTCTGCGGTATTCGGAATGGATGACGGATAAACACGCAGGGAGCCAGGCCAGAAATATCTGTCAGCGACCCGCTTGCAGTAAGCGAGGCCGGAAATGTGAATGTGCTGCCCGAGGGTGATGGCTTCAACCCGCCTGGCTTGAGGTCGAGTGAAAAATAATCCTGCGCCTCGTTCCGTTCTTGTCAAATAATCCCAGGCGCGATCTGGTTAAAGATAGTGGCAGTGTTGCACCCCAAAACAAAAAAATTCGAATGTGAAAAATACTGCTTACTCGTGTAGCAGCCACATTCAGGTGCCTCAATTTTGGCCCGCACAGTTCAGTCAGATGGCGGATGCAGGTACTCGTCAGTTGCTGGTTTCCCGATAGATCCACACTACTCAGGTTGCAGCCCCAACTGTCTGTATACGGAGAGAACAAAACAAGGCAAGCCTGGTAAAGGTCTTCCCTGAGTGCACAACGTTCTTTTCAATTGGTTAAGAGTGGCTATTCAGCACAGTAAGTCTTGTCGTGCATCTGGTCAATTGGACGGATTCAGCCCAATCATTGGCATTACAGGATAATCCTATACGATGGCACTTTCCGGCTCACCAGTGACAGTCATGATTAGCCCTCCTGCTATTTAAACAGCCAAAAACAGTCAAAATTCCCATTCCCTTGCTATACTTTTAACAAAGGCTAGTCACCAGCAGTTAGATCATATGTCAAGCAAGCACTGTGACTAGTCAAACTGGGTCCACAGACAAAGCAGGCAAGTTGTGGTCACAGCTGTTTTATCACTCACCCAGAGTCAAAACATAGCTGTATCAATTCACTTAAACAATCCCAGCCAGTCAATCCTGCTTTATGTAGGCTGGGAATTTTTAACCATTGAAATCAATCACTTGATTGATTTTAACCAAAAGGACTACTTTGCACAGAATGTATATTTGCATATTAGGAGGGTTAATTGGTGAGCCAGGTACAAAAGGCAGGCCTTCTTGAACCAGCAAGAAATATCTTATGATGCACAGTCTGCGTGCATAATTGTTATTCATATCTGCATTGTTACGGACTCCTGAGTCAAGTCACTAGCTTTTCAAATAAACTGTGAGAAAGGGCGTTTCTCGGCCACTGTTCATCCCCTGTTGCTTGTGACATGATTGCGACTGGCTTGCGAATGATTTTGATATGACTTGCCACTGACATGTGAACTGACCTTAACATTGTAACTTGGCTAGCGGCTGACTTGTGATTGTCTTGTGATGGACTTGTGATTGTCTTGTGATGGACTTGTGATTGAAGTGTGATTGGTATGTGATATTCGCATTGTGATTGACTAATATGATTTGACTTGTGACTGACTTGTGAATTGACTGGTGACGGACTTGATCACAAGTTTGTAATCTTATACCTTTATCATGTGTCTCAGCCCTCTCCTCAAGCAAACCCTGCGTCTCTGTCAATGCGAAGACGATGTCTGTGACTGCCGGACAGACGGATATGTTCAGGTGACTCAGGTTTGGCAGACCTCTTAGGAGTTTCTGTAAGAAATATTTCCTTAATAATAATTACAATATTCAGCAATTCACGGAGAAGGTATTTTAATTTCAATTCTGCATCAGAATTGGATTTAGTCTGTTACCTGTACAAATTCATTGGAGACTCCAGGGCATTCTTCCACCGAGATGGAGACTAGCTGTGAAGCATTCTGAGTGATGACATCACAAAGTAGCAATGGTAACACCAGGTTGCAACCATCCAGCACTAGTGACTGAAGTTTGCTGCAACTGTGGTTCAGACGAGACAATTGAAATGGTGATTTAGTTTGGCATAATTTTTTGTATAATTTAAGAATGACGGCTACAGTACAACTCATGGAGTAAGGGGCCTCCCAAAGCTATAGACTAATCAGGCCATAAGTTGAGGAACAAGCGGTCAATTCATAACCTAACTTACACCTGAACCCTAACAAGTAATAATAACAAAGTCCGAACATCTGTTGTTGAACAATGGTCGATCACCACAACAAAACTATTTGTGACTGTCTCCCTGCATGCTGTGCTTCATGATACAGCCACTTATTGGTTACCAATGCAACAACCTTCGTAGGCTAGTCCCTACATTTTGTCAACTGGACAAGTCCAACTATAGTTGACTGGTTAGGAGATCAAGTGAAGTTAGTTAATCTATGAAAGTTGAAGTTACAGAAACTATGGTTTTACCATTCATAGTTCACACACCGATAGGCTCATCAATTAAACACAAAATAAAAATAGAATTACTTTCTTAGAGTCTCTTTGAGGTTCTTGAACTCCATCTGTGAATCCTCCTCTATAAGGCAGCAGTGCTTGAGGTTCAGCACCCTCAAATGGGGCGGAGCCAACACGGGCAGTAAGAAGGCGGGCAGCTGTTGAGGGTAGCTCTCGACAAAGAGCTCCAATAGGTCCTTGCTGACTGCCGTGTAGAGATTCGTACTGAGTTTGGCTATCAGGTCTTGAGCTTTGTCCTTGCATTCCAGTGAGTGGTGATCATTGTAATCCAGTAGAGTACGGACGACAACGGCCGATGCCATGTGGTGAAGAGCGACTATAGCGGACATCCTGGTGATATAAACACATAGAAATGAGCATAAAGCACCCGTCAATGAATGTAAGACAGACCACATGACTCCCCAGCATGGTGCGTCAAGAGTGGGTCATGTTCTCTATGGCTGTGACACAGGGGTACGTCACGTCTCAACTTGGTGTGTCTAACAAATAATAGAGTGCATCACTTATCCTCAGTAGGTGCATGAATCACAATCTGTGAAAGGCGGGTTAAAAATGTTCAAATACATGTACATGTAGCGTCAAAACTATAAATTAAGGGCTGTATATATGTATAAATTTATAGATTAAAGTTTAATTATACAAAGTATTATGCAAACTTAAATTTATTCCCTTATCACAATCATACTTATTTAGATAAATTTACATACCACCAGCCCACACCTTGTCATTTGTAGTGATAAATTTGGAATACAAATTTGCTATCTTTTGGGCTGAAGTTGAACTTTAAATTATTTGCTGTTATCTCAGTCTCAGATGCCACTGGAAAACTTTTTTCCCCCAATTTACGGTCAATTCTTAACTAAAGTTGCTTATGCACTTGCTTCAGAAAGCGAAATTTGGCCTATAGCAGTGTATAGACATAGACAAAAATAATAGAGGCTTGCAAAAATATGAGACAGTGAGGTACATTTTTCAAAACCTTCTAGTTTTAGAAATATAATAGAGCATAGTGGGGCCGCATCTACCTTACTTATAATACTAGGAATATTCCTGTCATGCCTGTGCAGGATAACTACGGAGTTGGCACGGTATTCAACAGATCATGCACCGTTACTACGGAGGTAGAGGCTCCATGTACTGTGCAAACAGAATAGCCCCATAAATGTGGCCTATTTACTGGACTGCCTCCGTAAACATAGGCCACACATCCACATGTACAAAAATCGTGTCGACTTTGCCAAATTTTGATTTTCACATTTAGGCTTACTTTGTAGGATTATTTTGCTTTAGTAGCATACTCACCCTCTTTATAGGCTAGTCAGAAAGTGCTGCCTTTTACAGATGTCTAATTTTTGTGAAATTTCATGTTGAAATTTTGATACGCAAACGTGTAAAAATGAATCTGGAAATTTCACGAAAAATATACATCTGAAAAAGGCAGCACTTTTTGATTAGCCTATAAAGAGGGTGAGTATGCTTCTAAAGCAAAAAAACCCTACAAAACTAAGCCTAAATGTGAAAATCAAAATTTGGCAAAGTCGACACGATTTTTGTACATGTGGATGTGTGGCCTATGTTTACGGAGGCAGTCCAGTAAATAGGCCACATTTATGGGGCTACAAACAGAACAGCAGTCATGACACTTGGCAATAACTTGTTCTGCACATCATGATCACCACACTGGTCCAAAAATAATTTACCGCCACATCAGGCACTAGTTAACGATTCTGCAATTACTCCCTCTTTGACTTTGAATCCTAAAAACAGTCCTCGTTAAAACTTACTCGATATTAATTATTGTGCTAATGCTAACTAAGTTAGAAGTAAGATCACAAAATCAATCTTCCTGTCGTTAGCCTCTGCTCTGCATGCATGCAAGATATGAACACCGGCAGCTGGTACTACAACGAATAATGAACGATATCAGCTAACTAGCTCTCGCGATACAGCGTGATCGGTTACCAGCCAAACTTGTTTACGCTCTAGCGCCCTCAAGCGCGCGGAATTTGCACGTGCACGGTTATCACGCGCGGAGGTTGGCGGTTTCGTCAGGGTTTGTTTACGAAATAGCCTATGTGCGGTGCTATATGGCACGAAATGTTTTACATCATTAGTAACTCGATAGTTTCGTGCACCTTATTACGCCGGAAAAGTTTGAGAAATATACTGGTTGGGCCCTGGGATCTCTGGGTTGGGTTTTTATTTCACGTGCATGACGATCTGAGCCTAGGCCTACAGGGTGAGTAAAAAAACAACGAAACCCAAATAGTGGGACAATTTTTTGAATGACGTTTTGCCGCATGTCATGCATGTAGCGTCTTCAAAATCTAGGATATGAAAGCCCAGTCATTAATACTATAATAGTCCCATAAATGTGACTGAAATACTGGACTTCCTCCATATTGTGAGCCACACCGGGATGCATATAGCTCTACTGAGTGGAGCGTTGAATTACGGGTACCCCTCCACACCAAGTTGATATGGAGGGGTACCCGTAATTCAACGCTCCACTCAGTAGAACTAGGATGCATACTAAATTTCGTGAAAAGTTATGTTTCCTGAATTTGAAATCTAGACTGGCTTTCACTTGATATTCCCCTTCGAAGCTACTTGCCTGGTTAATAATATTGATAACCAGAAACAGTTCACTACTTACTTTTGGCTTTACAAAATATAGCATACCCTGTAATCTTCCGGGAAAATTTGGAGAGGGTACTTTATCCAAAACCATGCCTGCATGATTTTTCTCAAGGTCATACTAGGTCTTGGAAGTATGCGATCATTGAATTTCAAGACTACATTTATATGAAATCTGTTTTTCTTTTTCTTATTCCAGAAATGGCAACCTTTACAAGTAACCTGCTGTCGGCAACAAGAACAATCGTCACATTCCGGACAGCGTTGGGAATCATTATCCTGGGGAGTGCTTGTGTATCACTTGATCATATCCTTCAGCTGCAGGCCGTTGTATCCAACCTCTACTGCCGAGCATTCATGGACAGTTTCACCCACGGCCTTGTTGGGGTTTTGTCCTGGGCCATCGTGATAGGAGCTATCCCTCCCACGAGTTGTCGTCAACTGGGGGAGATCCTTTTCTGCGGGATGCTATCCTCGGGCTTAGACGTGGACCACTTTGTAGCTGCAAGGTCCATTTACTTGCAGGTAAATCAGTTTTTGTTAAAGCACTCTTCAAGATATTCTTCTTGGCCATCTGGACTCTCTGCAGGTAAATTAGATGCTTCTGCTTGACTAGTCACGAGAACTACAAGTACAATGCATGCTTTAGACAGTTTTCTTGCAAATGGCGTGAAAAAAAACCAGGTACAGCCAATTTTCAATTTAACGTGCACAAAACCACAGTGCCTTTGCGTTGTCGAAAGGAGGAAGTCAGTTAAATGCAACACGTGAAGTCTGAGAGACTAAGTCAAAACATGGCTATTCTGCCTCCATAGTCAAAAGGCGAACTGTGGTTCGTAGAAGGACCACTGATATTTACTTGAAGTTTTTAATCAGTAATAATATGCTGTGAGTGATCATCACGAGGAAAATACTGACTGAGAAAGCTGGTGAATTTTCTGAAACTGACCTTTTCTTTCAAGGTTGGTCACCTTCGTAGTGTATCCAAAACTTCTCGAAAGTTGAAAACTCACTTTGCAAAATCTTATTATTATACTTCGTTTCTACACAGGATGCTCTGGTGCTACCCCACCGGCCAGTTCTTCACTCTACCTCTCTCATTCTCCTCATCGGCTTCATCTTGCTCCTCACCACCCGCATCACCGCCTCCCACAAGCTTCGGCCACTTCCCTACATGTTCCTCACGGCGTCCCTCTCCCATCACATCAGAGACGGATCCAGGAGGGGGCTGTGGCTCTGGCCTCTTGGGTCCACGCCCCCTCTGCCCTACTGGACGTACATAGGCCTCGTCTGCATTTTGCCAGTTGTCGTTGAACTATTTTTAGACAGGACTGAAAGCACACTGCCACTGAAGGCCAGCAACGGTGCTGTTTCAGCACTGTCTTCGATGTAATCAAAAGAAACTTTATTAAAATTATTTAATGAGAGTTTACACATTGTGCAAAGAAATTCACTAGAGTGGGATGAGGAGACTGCCAAGGTAGTTCAATAACCCTAACTCCCTAGGCATTTTTACTAGCATGCAACCTCAATCCTGCAAAATCCTCCAACTGCCTCCATGTAAAAACAACATACAACCTCAGTCGTCCAAACCCCTCCGTTTTTTTGTGTGAATGTGGTCCCTGGAGAGGTGACCACTGCCTCAATCCTGCAAAATCCTCCATCAACCACTGTCAATATGTTGAGGTACAGCCAGTGACATCGTGGAGCAGTGCGGAGGATGTCAAGTATAATCAAGGCCTAAATTTATGCCCGGCTGAGCATAAACAACACAATGTCCGGCCCAAGACCTTGACTAGGTGCAATATCCTCCAAAATTCAGCCACACATTTTTGCCTCATAGCCTCAATCCTGCAAAATTTTGCAGAGGTGTTTGGAGGATTTGTGGTTAGGTTTAATGGAACACCATGTACCAAGGTTCAAGTCCCACTTCAGTAAATTGTTACGTAACTTTTATTTTCATTGATAATGAAATAAAAATTCAATATTGGGTCTGGTTTCCTGACCCTACTACAAACAAAACGGATCAATTTATGGACATCAGGGAATTGTCAGGTCAGGGAACCAGACTAGCTGGCTGTGTAACCAATTGCAAACAAAATGGGGACTAACCAATTTTGGTCAATCGGGGGCAGAATTTGAAGAAAGTCAGGTTTTTTGCCAAAGATTGTCGGCCGACCATCGTTGGAAATTAATAAAAAAATTCCACTCTTCTTGAAAATGACTGCACACCAGGTGCCATGATTTCACAGGATGCTTGAGACTATTATTCACTTACAGTCAAGTAAGGTATTTCATAATAGGTTTTTTTTGGGGGGGGGGGGTTTGAAACTCAAAGTATGGACTTTTAAAGTATTAAATCTTTAAAATCTTTACTGACATAAGCAAAGAAGATACAATTCGTTACATCACAGTTGTTAATTTCCAAAATCGGGATATTTATTTCATTGTGAAAATACTGATATAAAAACCTCTGTAAATGTACATTTTGTCAAGTGGTAAACTTTAATCACAAGTATTAAACATTTATTAATAAAACAGGAACAGCTAAAACTAAAAATAAGAAATGAACGTTTTCCCAGCTTCTGTTAATTTAAAATCTTTGATATGTTACATTTGGTGTGCACTTCATTAGCATTTACAAGTATGACGAGAACTGAAGCACCTGAGTACCTCTTCCATCCTGCAACTTATTTTTTTCCCTTGCATGTTTTATTTTCATCCCAGTCTGTGGAAGAGTGAGATTTTTAGTGATTGAAAGTGATTGAAACCGATTTTTATTCAAAACACTAGCTACACTTTGCTCAAAGTCATATGTACCAAAACAAATTGCTCACAAATTTAAAACATGCTTAATCTAGTTACAAATGGTGCTACTGATCAAAGCACACGTGTTTCATATTTTCAGTTTGGCAAAATTGATGAGGAAAATCAGTGTCCCCCCCCCCCCCATTTCCAAATTAAAAATTATAAAAATCAACTGTGGGTTTTCCAAAATAGGCCAATACCTTGGGAAGTTCACAGTCAAAGTTACACGTTTTTCTGTCAATATGTTTCTAAAACAACTGCATTTTTTTTTACCCCACTGTCCCTGAAGAATGGCGTAAACCAACTGTTATTGCTTTTCACTGACTTTGGCAATTTCTTGGGTCGTTTCACTTGAGTGGAGGGGTTTCTGGCAGACAAAGAAGATGCAGTCGTATTCGTATTTCAGCATAGACTCGTGGTCTTGAAGGTAGCTTGCGTGTATCGATTCTTCCCTCTGCCAAGAAACATACCAAAAGAATCAAATAAAAAAATCAAGGTCACAGAAAACTGTGTAAATTTTTAGTTGTCCAATCGTAGAGGTAGTAAGTTCCCACAATTTGACGCAATGTCAGTTATGTATATATGCTGTACAAGATGCGGTCCAATCTGCTTCATCCACTGTACGATTATGTCCCCGAGCCATATGTGCCGGCAAGAAATACTTGGCTTGCATCGTCTCTGCATCCGCTTACTCTGCAGCCGATGAGATGTCGCACCAGCCAGTTCCAGCGTTGTTTCTTGCCCAGTGCCGTACAGCTATGGAATTCCTTACATGGTGACATATGTGCAGCAGGCAGTGTGCATACTTTTAAGTCAATGGCCAACATTGTATCTAAGGTCCATTTAATTTTTTTCTCGTGTTTTGCTCGTTATTGTCCAGTTTTTTTTCTTTTCGATCACACGTGTTCTTGTTTTCTCAAGATTTTTTTTTATAGCTGTCTCTTGATTTTGTTTGCTTCGCCAACGCTTCAGGTGTGTGGGGGTTGCTGTAAAGCAACTTTCCCACTCTACCTGATTCGTTTCGTCTAATAATAGTAATAATACAAGTTAACCCTTAAGTCACTGTACCGCCTGAAACCGCCTGATCTCTCAATGGTTTCACTCAATGGTTCTATTGATTCATCAGTGACTAAACACAAGTGATACAATGTATTACGGTTGCTAATGGGTTAATAAGCCGTAACTTATGAACTTACACTGCCATCAAACACAAATGTCAAAAAGGACGACAAATACAAAACGTGAACGCTCACCAGTATTACAAAGGAGAAGTCTAGAATCACTTGACGAAGGACGTCATATGCAATTTCAATAGATGATTCTTTCGGCGTGTTCTCAAAATGGTACAGCAACGGACCTGCGAAGCGAAGAGCACATTGTGATCCCAATTAAACTAATTATGTGCCACCCCCCCCCCCCCCCCCAAAGTAAAAAACTTTATCTGCTGTACTAGTTATTTTCCAAAGTGGTACAATAAAGTGTTCAATTAACCTGCTGATGAGGTTCCCTAAAATTCAGTAATTGAAAAAAGTTGGCACTAATATTGGTTAAAATGATGCAACTGGGCCAAGTTGAATTTGTACACAAGGTCAAAAAGAATAGATATATATTGTTGAATGGTAATATCTTCAACCATGCCGAAAATGCTGTCTGATGCAGTGGTTGTCTGTTGAAGTGAAGTAAAGTCTGTCACAAGCCAATATTGCCCATCAGACCGGCGTTTATCTCCGGTTTCAGTAGCATGAAATGACTGAGAATGTGTCTATTCCCCTTGGATGGGATGCCAGTCCATCGCAGGTTACTTCCCAGCTAATGCCGGTACCCATTTATACTCCTGGGTGGAGAGAGGCAAGTGAGGGTGAAGTGGCTTGCCCAAGGATGCAAGATATAGCCAGCAGCTGGATTCGAACCCCTGACCCTCTGATTACGAGTCACGAACCCTAACCACTAGGCCACACTCCTCTAGTGAACTTAAGAGTTATGAATAGAAATAGGTACAGAAAGAGACTTCCAGGAGAAAACATTAAGACAGTCTTTTAAAACCAATTACATGAAAGTGAAATTGACATACCTAGATTAATCCAGATGCCACCAGGTTTAAGGATCTTGTAGATTTTCTCGATGTAGTCGAGGATATTGTGTGCTGTGTCTATGAAGAAACAAGTGGCTACACAATCCCATTGTGCTGTAAAAACACCAAGCAAATGTTTTATAGTTTTACTTCACCAGTGATGTGCGATTTCCTATGAAGTTATCAGAATAATATGAATTAATCTTATTCCCACTACATGTATTGGAAGTTTGATGCTAGTTATGCCACTGTCTGCCAGTGCTAGAAACTATGTCCGACAGAAACTAGGTAACTTTGTTTTTAGTGTGTAATATATTTTAAGCATCTGCATAGTCAATAGGTGGCACTGTAACAAGCTTAAGTACCATCAGATGGGTCAAATACAAAGTGTTCAAACTGTAACACTTGTAAATGTTATGGCCCAACTGTAGCATTGTCCCAACTATGGTTGGGACTGCCCCAACTATAAGTTGGGACTACCCAAACTATAGTTGGGACTGTCCCATCTATAGTCGGGTCATTACCTCAATTGGAGCATAGCATAGACAATCGGTGAGAAGCCTTATTTTACCTGGAGTGTCGTAAACTTCCAGGAAGTCGCCGGCTACCATTGAGAAGTCCGCACCCTCTTGCAGACTAGACGGACTGATATCAGGTATAGTGACCTGCCTGGTTTGATTGGCGTTGGATTTGATATTGCTGAATTGATGGGCCCAGGGATAGATGGTGATGCCCTCTACCTTGGGTGAGCTGGGAGGCGGGAAGGGATGTGGTCAGATAAATGAGGTGTAAACACCGAGCACTTCCATTTTTGTCTGGTATTGAAAGGCTCTTGGCTAAATATCAAGTGCCTGAGATGGTCTTCAGATAATAGTTTGAAACCCTTACAGAATTATACGTATTTTACAGACAGCCTCCATTCTATATGTTTGGCTGGCCGAAAGATTTCTACCCAAAGTTTCCAGGTACTCACCGGTTAAGTATAAAATGTGAGGCAAACAGCATATACAGGCTGAACTCGTTGCCTTGACAACTGTATCCAAGCTTGGCAACCTCAAAGGCTAATCTGCCCAGTCCAGCTCCAGGCACGAGAACTGTTATACTCTCCTTGCTAAACGTAAAACAAATAATAACAGTAATGATAATAAAGGCACCAAAAATTAAAATAGCTCCATGCTGAATGCTGATTCGGGATGGTCCATCATTCGTATCCCGAACCCCAAGTCTAAACTTCGATTTCAGGGAAGCAAGCAGAATTTTTGGGAAAAAGAGGGGCCGCCAGATGAGAACTAGTTTGTTTTGTACTCGGCCTAATTTTTTGCGACAAGATTCTAGTTAAGTTGTTTAAGAATCCCTCAAGTAACACCCAACACAATGAGCCTAAAAGGTGCGGATAAACTTGCCCCCAACTTATCCTGAATATTAAACTAGGTGATTCCTTTAAGACCAAGAACACCGACCTATCCTTGAGGGGAAGACGTGTCTGTATCTCTTCAATGATTGGTCCGTAACACGCTTGCCGCTCACTGATGCCATCTTTACTCCAGTCTCGAACAAACTGCTTGATTGTCGTCAGTACCTTCTCCATGTCCAGTTTGGCCACCCCATTGTTGACCTTTAGCCTTCTCTTATCCTTTGTATCGTCCTTTGTATCGGTATCGTCCTGTAAAAAAAGTGTTGTCCAAACAAGAAATTGAAATTAAAACTTCAAAACTTGAAAAACAATTGTTGAAGGCACAATTTCAACGCTCCTAACATATCCACAATTGTTTCTCAAGCTCTGGTTTAACCCTTACCTTCCCAAATCCTCCTAAATACTCTTTGCAAAACGGATGATTTTGGAGGTTTAAGGCTATATGGCAAAAATGTGTGGCTGATTTTGGATGATGCACTGTGTCAAGGTCTTGGGCCGGACCTTGTGTTGTTTATGCTCAGCTCTGCATAAATTTAGGCCTAGATTATACTTGAAATCCTCCGCACTGCTCCAGGATGTCACTGGCTGTACCTCAACATGTTGACAGTGATTGCTGGAAAATTTTGCAGGATTGAGGCAGTGGTCATCCCTCCAAGGACCACATTCAGGAAATAACGGAGGATTTTAGAGGATTGAGGCTGTATGCTATTTTTACAACAATGGTGGCAATTGGAGGATTTTGCAAGCTTGAGGTTACATCCTAAAGCAAAAATGTCTGGGGAGTTAGGGTTAATAGGATCTTATTTACATTTTAAAATGGTATCAACATGTCAACAAATATGACATGATAGGAGCCCTCATTTTGCAAGTCTGATTTACCTGACCAACATTTGTCCTACAGCACACAAGCTTCTCTTAAGGCCGGTTTGTACTTTTCATGACGTCAACAATGAAAGTTTCAATGTGACGTTCTCTGCAATCCTAACGACTTCATTTCGCACTGAAATTCGTGGAAATATTTCTTGTACATTTATCCTGTAAACTTTTCCTGAATCTTCTATTGCCCTCCATTGTGCAGTAAAACCAATGACCAGTCCTCTTACGGCAACTTTCAAGTGACATCAAGCCCCATACACAGAAATGGGTGCATACCTATGTTCCCCTATACCGATGTTCCCCGAAATCCTTACTGTATAACCCTAACTTTAACCCTAACCCTAATCCTTAGGATTTCGGGGAACATCGGTATTGGGGAACATCGGGTAGACCCCCACAGAAATAGTGGACATTGAAGAATCTTGCAAGCTCAGGGTCAATGTTACAAGAAGTAAATGGTGACTCAGCTCACACTGTAGTCGTCTCGGTTGACAAACATGCAGTCAGTGTTTTCAATGATGAGTTTGATGATCTCATAGTTGTGGTCTACGCAGTGCCGAACGTCGCCCAAGTGATCTCGGAATCCCTGCAGCAAAGCCTGGTGATGTCCCGGCAAGTCGTCAAAGTCCTTCAGTTTGTGGTTCAGTCTCATGTGCATGAAAGCCCTGCAGAACAAACAGAATAATCTGCCGTGAATCGTGATTGTGAACTGTATCAATCCTGAGATTTTATCAAGATTATTTGTACAATGTACATGTGGTTCTGAGACCGAGGACGTAAAGAAAATGCATGAACAGTAAATCATGTAATCTTGGCACTACATGGTGCTAATTGCAGTAAATGTCTTATAAATAGTCAACACACCAACAAAACATTCATTCTAACAAAGTCTTTGCCTATCTGATTTCAGATGGAAATAAACTTGCCACTCAAAACGTTAACAAGTGGACGCCGATATCCGGGAGCTTCTATAAACATTGACTTGTCTAGTTCCCAGACCTATTTACTTAAAACTCAAAGCCGTGGCCTGTCATTCAGTATTGGTCTGAAGTGCACCCGCATGCATACACTTTTGACCAGAATTGAATTATTATTAAGTAAGATTTGAGGCTTTGCATGGTGGAGATACTAAATAATGAAAGGTTTGCGGAAACACCATGTGCGAATAATTTCTCAACTAAGAGGATGGTTCTGAAAAGAACCAGAGGTATAAACTCGACGTTCCGGTCAGTATGCTCTGACCGTCTTCAGGAAACCTTTCATTATTTATTGAATTATTATTATTATTATTTTTTATTCAACCAAATTACAAAAACACAACAAGCAATCCACAAAAATAAACAAAAATAAACAAAAACAACCCAATCCAAGCTGGCCATGATTGACAAAAGTATAAGGTCAAGTAAAAAAAAAACAAGTTTAGCATCCTGCCTTTCTGAAAAAAAGGAAGGAGGCAGCAAATTATGTCACTGTTTGAAATTTATAATTTTGGGGGTTTTTTTTCAATTAATTTAAAAATAAATAAATAAAGAGGTGGCCTCCAAAAAAGGAAGCAGGCGGGGACGCTAAACATCTTTTTTTTATTAGGCCTAACACTGTGACCACAAAGCCTGTCAATCTAGTATGTATAACATTAACAGGCATATCACTTTGTTGTGTAGCCTAATTCTCTTTTATTTCAGTGATACAAAAAAAATTGAATGACTATGATTTTGAGATTTCTTTCTTAAGAAAAAGAAATTCAATCAATCAATGGACTCCCTATATAAAGTGATAAAATAGTTTCAATCTTGATTTGATTTTCGGCTCCCTTAACAACAGACCTTTCCGGTCATTTTGCGTATGTGAGCTGTGTGGCTGAATATACGGAGGAAGTCCAGCATTGAATTTTTTAGCCACATTTTTATGGGTCTCCGCAACTACACCGAGTATCACCCGTTATCCACGGAGCCAAATCCTGTATAACGTCTGATATGTCTAGATATGCAGATACTGCAATCCAATTTGTTATCAGCAGAGTGAGTACATGGTGGGATTTGGATTGAAACACTCTCACGCACAAACGAATAACTGATAGAACTAAACCAGCTGAAGAAAATAGTATTTCAATGACTTTTTTGCACGTCTGTGATCAAACGAAGCAGGCGATCAGATGCAAGGAGTTACATGTACTGTTCAAGAGGAAGGCGACAGTCTTGGATAGAAATGGGGATTTAATAAAAATTACAAATTTGTTGGTTGGTTTAAAGAACACAGGCTTGTTTCTTGGAAAACTCTTTACCTTCCTTGAATGATTATCAGATTATGTTTGTCAGGTTGTAAAATGTAGTGACAGTTTGAAATCATCAGTCATTACTGATTGGCTGCTCAAGAGTCATAATTTTAATCCAGTCAATCACAAGTCCATAAAAAGTCAAATGACCGAAGACCCGATATGGAAAGCGCCGCTGATTGGTCAAAATCTAGGAGGTCAAGAGGCGCAGGCGGGGTCTTGCCTAATTTAATCAGCGAATCTGTTGACTACAACTATCCTCGACCCTCCATTATCTGCGCAGGTAACGCTTGCACACACGCACGCGTTGTCACACACAAATTGAAGGTAAATACATAGAAAAGGGACCGCGTAGCTCGTAGCTTTAGCCAGTTTAGGGTGTCTGACAAATGTCTAACGTCACGATACACACAAACATGACAAACCCCCGGCATTTTTGCCCGGCCCGGCGTTCGGCACACATTCCTAACTTCCAAATTCAGCACATCAAATTTCATCCATTAACAATTCACCTGTAATGTCTAAATGCAGCAACCACTTCCTCGTAATGTCTTTTCTCCAGTTCTTCATCATCTGCACTGACATCTGATTGTGTATCGGGAAGAATTCGGGGAGCACGCTTGGAACTTTCAGTCATCATGGGCTGCGCCATTTTGTCTGCATAGAGTGTTTCTCGGCGACAGCGGGCGCTATTCAATGTGACTGCGAAGTCACTGCCAAGTGAAAATCTAGGTTTCGTTTGCAGCTTTGTCTCCAACTTTGCCTCCAACTCCAACTTTGCCTTCATGAGATAGACCCCTATACTGCCCTACATGAGTAGGCAATAGTATGGTTTGCCAATCTTTAAGAATGACTTGATATTCTGAAAACACCACCAAAAAAAAAAGGGGGGGGGGACAAATTTCACGGAGCTGCTGAACACAAAACTTTACTTAAATGTTTCGCACAGAAAACGTTTGATCATGCAGCACTGTGAAAAGCGTGTATACATACTCCATGGGACTGGATCCAGCTTACAGATTTTTTTCTTTATGTACTAAATAATACTCTACTCATTTTAGCTTCATGAATTTGGCTTCAGTGGTCACGGAACCCCATCTACCGTTCATGCAAGGAGTCCCTAAATCAAGTTAAATCAATGAGTTCCTAGTCAGGAAGTAGTCTATCAAGTCAAGGTCTTGTAGGCTTAATTATAAATTATAAAACAATTGGTGGGTCCGCTTTTTACTAGTGATGCCACTGCTCCGATTCAGAACGGCATCAGCCGGGGAGTAACCTGCGATAGACTGGCATCCCATCCAGGGGGACCAGAAACCAAGAAAACCGGAGATAAACACTGGGCTGATGATGAGCCACATTGGCTCGAAACAAATTTTACTACCGTAATTTTCAAATCATCATTGGAGACACCAAAGATGCATTTTACGAAGATATCTTGCAGTTTATGGGCACTTTTTTGGAAGTGCCAAAAACCGGATGATAATTCTTCTATTTTAGCGACACAATTTCCCCGGCCTTTCATTTCCTAGCTCTCTGGCGGCCAACACTGATCATTGGTGCCTGGTCCCTGCACAGCCCGGCCACTACAGCAAACTACTGAACACCAGCTAGACTCGGTGTCTGCCTCCAGTAATTGCCAGTGGGCACAAATTGAAACCAGGTTTACTCCTCGTGTGAGCAATATGTGATTGAATATTGGGTTTTGCCCATCACCGACGAATTTTTTTTATGGATATGTAATTGATGATGAGGAAGATGGCAACCAAGCTACAAACTCGACGAATTTCATCGCCTGTTTCGATTCTGGCTGGAATTTCGATGAGTTTATCGTCCGTACGGCTGTTCAACATTGTCCGTGTGATTGGACACGTCTGAATAACATGACGTCGAGTTTTTAAACATCACTATTTTGTTATCAAATCATTTGCTAGACGGTCTTTCCATTTAAAAACCGTGACGGTAAAATCGTTGAAACACATAGAAGCACATTGCAACCTGTTTCACGGTACTGTCTCCAAATATCTGCTGCCACCAAGAGTTTGATAAGGGTCCAGTGTCTTGAGGTCAAGGCCATGTCCAAATGGCGCTGACCTATTATTGATGCACCGCTTCTACCAATGCTAAATCTACAGCGAATACTGTGATTGTTATCCCAAATATGTTATACAGTGTATACTTCCCGAGTCTCCTCGGTGGCTGATATCAAAATGAAGGTCGAAGGAAGAGAAGAAAATCGTCGAGAAAATTGCCAAATTGAACGGTACCAGTGTTCCCGAGAATGTATTTGACAGACCAGAAAGCAAGCGTGGTACCACAAATTAAGGCAAGAAACGACACTGTATACGGCAAACGGTCTGCTCAGCCACCCCGTACGCAAATGTATAAAAGAATGACATAAAACATATTACCAAGTTAATCGTCAAATGTTACGAATTCTTTATTTGTATCTAATCTGTTTGGTTTTACCATTAATCATTTGCATGCACTATCATCTTCGTATAAAAAGGTTACGCACCGTATTTTTGTAGAACTACTAAACCAAAACATAGGTGAACTATAGTTTGGAATAAAAAACTTTCACGACAGGAACAAACTGTATACGAAGATCCAATTGGATCTCTTCCGAACTCCAAACATTCGGAAGACAAACTGGTTGGTTTTAATAGGAATTAATTATTTGCCTTGTGACTTTTGAGGGCCACTCAAGTTGAATAGTGTGACCAAATATAACATCGTCAAAGCCTAGTTGTGTAAAGTTGTGCTATCACCGTGACTCTAGACCTACCTGTTGTTTCAACAACAAGGTGAGCTCGAGAAATCAGTTTATAATCAGCCACGCATTAGTTAACTTAGCACATTATTCTCAAGAGATAAGTTGCCAAACGAATATCATTGCTTGGACAATTTACTAATCTTGCGAATCAATAATTTAATGTTCCGCAAAGCTGCCGTTTCCGTGAAAAGAGAATCAGGCGAGCGGAGTTGCAGGCGATAGATTTGACGCTTTGTCTCGTAATACCTAGCCTGTTTTGTCTCGCTCGTCACAGTCATAAGAAATTGACGAGGGCATCTCATTTAGCCAATGCAGTTTCCATTTGGGAATACATCGAGTGTGTAAGACGGAAGAAGGTGCTAATAAATTCCCCACGGGTAACCCAAGTGTTTACTACTATTTCCCTTGACGAGAGATGAAAGATTGCACAGTCTCTGGCAATTATCATTAGCCCTTATACACTCATCTTGATCATGAATGTTTTACCGTTTGTAAATTTCGTGTTTCACTAATACTAGGAATACCTTTGGGGTATTAATAAAACAATTTCGATGTGACCCACTTTAAAAGAAAATTAGAAGAATCAAGGCACATCTTTTTATTTATTTATTTTTGGTTTGAGATGTTGTGGATCCCTGGCTCTACACAATCGCCAATTATAGCTTTAGGGTAGACGTCGTAATGTACACGACAGTTCCTATCTGTTAGAATGCATGTCTGGTTTATTTACTTCCAAGATTTGTTTCTCTCTTTTAGTTTGGCAATTGCAGTTAATACATTACAGAACTGACTGTAGAAAAAAGGAAGTCTTGTCTGTTTCACAATTAGCTCTGTACAGAATCACTGTGAACAAAAACGAGGCCGCGCTTAAAAATCTATGCATCGTGATTTGAAGTTCACATAATGTCAAGAGAGCTCCTCTGACAGCCTCTCTTTCAGTTAACCGTGCAAAGGGCCCACGCTAGCGTTGTAATCTAGAAACAAGCGAAGGGAGGTTAGGCCCATTTGTCATTTGAAACCCCGAACGAACATGTCTCTTGTCAACATGACTATAATGGTTTGACTACGCCATGCGCTAATGGTAGAAGAGTACTTTTTGCGATCACTCCAAAACACAAACAACCAAACAACATACAGACACGATGGCGGGAAGTCATTTCAAAAGTTCCTAGTTGTGCCGTCCCTCCTTTGTAAACACTGCTGGAATCATTCAGGCCGTTGAAGAGAATGTTTTATAGAACAAAAGGGCATCTGGGACAAATTTATAGGTATGCATGTTGAGTGTTTACTGTCTTTGAACTAATGCGTTGTAAACAGACAAGCAAAGTCTCGCTAATGAAAACATGACCAAAGTACGATGGTGCTTGACTTTTCCCGCATGAATTCTGCAAAGAGGTATCAGTCCACAATCTGAACACAGGCAGAGGTAAACGAACCATCACTTAGCCAACTGGTTTGATGTAAATTTGACATTTTGACAGTAAACTGCGCGCCACCTTCAGTTTAATATATATAGTACTTGGGCAGGTTTAGCTTCACCATAAATACACAGGAGCGTAGGAAGAAAACAAGCAGGAAAAGTTTGTCTATATATCCTCCACAATAGACGTCACCTGGAGGCGCAGTCACCCTACATCTTTCGTCCAGATCTTCGTCCATTACAACTATACGTGGGAACAAGCTGAAAATAGAGGTATAGCCGTAGCTCTACAGACCCGTTTCCGACACGGCCTTATACTTCCTTCACCGTTAGACAAGACTTTACAAAATTGAGTGAATTCGTTTATGCCATTCTGTAAAATAAAAAAAGGAAGATGAAGCAAACTATGGTAATGAAATGTGGCCGCACACGCCTGACGGTTCGTTTGTATTTCTTGAAGTTATTTTACATCTTTAGACATAAATATAAAATTGAATTAAAAGGAAACGTAAAACCACATGAACAGGGGCTGTCAAGGACAAACAAAAGCATAAAACACTGTCATCAAACGATGTGTTTGTAATGTAAACGCGAATTTTGACGAACGCTTTGAAAATTTATGATTTTGGATGAGGTTGAATTTCCTGGCTAATAAAATAATGCTGCAGTAAAAATTAGTCGCCTCTAGTTTCTTAAACACAACTGAACAGGCAGTTTATCTTGTCCAACACTTTTGAAATACTACAATCCAAATAAACAATACATCTAAATTTAAGACAGCTTATCCTGTCTTCAGTTTACACTCTGCGTCCAAACACCGGAAAGTACAGGGTTGACTGAGAGCCTGATATTGTCAGTATTGACGACTCTTCTGGATCATGTTCATCAGCGAGGAAGCCTGGTGTCTCTGGTAAAAATCAGGCGTCCGACAATCGTCCTCAATAAAATGATGCTGTATCCATTACAGGCTCTTACATCTTGGGTTACAGTGAGGGCAGGTTGGCTGACGGCCTCTCTCGATTTGATCCCGTCAAACGAGGTGTCTGCCAACGCCAAGAAATTAGGAAAACCAAATCGAATTATCTTTCGATAAATCGAAAGCCGATCAAGAGTAATAAGAATACCCTGGGGTGTTTTGCCGCTGTGTGATTCCAGCGAAAAGGACGGGTATTATAAGGCGCGAGCTTTTTGTGGCCAAACACATCGTGTTTTTTTCTCTACAAAGGATAATTTTGCGAATGGTGAGATTCAAGACGAGATGATGACATTTTTTTCTGACCTGTCTGCATCCCTGTCTTCGTCCAGCTGAATTGTTTGCTCCCAAAGAAAATTGATGGTAATTCAAAATCTGTTGAAGTTGAAGCTGAAATCAACAATTATTGCAAGAATGCACCATAAGCAAACGTTTTTCCGCTCAAATTTAAGAATTATGATTTTTTTCGGCATGATGTTGGCTGAAGAGGGATCTTGGTGAGGCGGTCCTGCATT